GTGTGGGGGGGGGGTGGAGGGAGGCGGGCCCTGGAGAACCCCAGGCTGGGGCAGGTGGCCCTGTCCTTCCGGGGTCCCCAGTCTGAACCTGAGCCCCGAGCCCCTTGTCCGAAAAACAGGGTGGGGACATGGCCTCCTGGCTCTGGGGAGCCCAGTCCCCTGGAGCACAGCCCAATGCTGTGCTCGAGGAGCCCACAGGCCACTGGGGACACTGGGGAGCCCCCAAGCCAGGCGATGGTGACAAACCTGTCAGTCACCTGCCAGCGGGGGGTGGTGCCCAGCCTGTTGCTGGTATTTCCTGAGCACCCACACCTGGATCCACTCCTATCTGCACCGGGCGGACTCCAACCAGGACAGTAAGATGAGCTTCAAGGAGATCAAGAGCCTGCTCAGAATGGTCAACGTGGACATGAATGACATGTACGCCTACCGCCTCTTCAAGGTGGGCCCCCGCCACCTCTCTGACCTCTGCTCTCTGTCCTCCCCGACCATTGGAGTCGGCTGTTTTCCTTTCCATCCAGCTGTGGTGGCCACAGGGGCCTCTTGCAGCAGAAAGGCCACACCTGGGTCTACTTCCCTTCATCCCCTCCCCCGAGGCTATGGGCCCAGAACTTCTCCCCATCAGGCAGACCCCAGGGGTAGGGAGGACCTTGGGCCGCCCACCACTCCCAAGGGAGCAGCGAAGCTGTAGTTTTCGTTTCTTTAAAACCCTTTGCCCAGGTGACCTGTGTGGTTTGCAATCAGGAGCAAAGGGAGGAGTCGGCTCACGGCCCACGTGACACCCTCCTCCACTGTGGCGTGTGTGGCACCTCCACGCCTGTGGGAGCACAGCCGGGGGCACACAGGGGTGGGCTCTGCATCCGGGGCCCAGTCAGGGCACATGGCAGCCCCCTCTGTGGATGCTGCTGAGTGTCTAGCTGGTGACACTGAACGACAGTACACGGCACCTGTGCCCCTCCCGACAGCTCCATGTGGATCCTCAGTTCTGTGCTGCGCACCGACCCTGGGCGTGAACGTGGGAATCTGAGGATGGTAATGACTAGGAGGGGAGCGTAGCACAGGAGCCCAGTCCTGCCCCAGGGACACTGGTTTTCCTCCCACATCTTTTATCTTTTTTAATATATATTTTTATTGATTTCCAAGAGGAAGGGAGAGGGAGAGAAATAGAAACATCAATGATGAGATTCATTGATCGCCCGCCTCCTGCACGCCCCTTAGTAGGGATTGAGTCCGAAACCGGGGCATGTGCCTGAACTTAGACCTCCTGGTTCATAGGTGGAACCTCCACCTCTGAGCCACACCAGCCAGGGCTCCTCCCACATCTTGATTCCTAGGGCAGGTCATCCAGAGCGACAGGCCCGGAACCCGAGAGATCTTCCCCAAGCATCTCAGCCCCGCAGGCCACCAGCTGTGCCCTTGAGCGAGGCTGGAGCCTCACGAGCTGTTTCTCTCCCTGTGAATGGGAGACATCTGCTTTCCCGACCATGGCAGATGCTGGGTGTGTCAGTGCGGCCAGCTTCCCCAGGTGTGCCCTCTCCTGAGTCCCTCCCTCTGCTTCCTAGGAGTGTGACCACTCCGACAACGAGCGGCTGGAGGGGACCGAGATTGAGGAGTTTCTGCGGCGACTGCTGAAGCGCCCGGAGCTGGAGGAGATCTTCCATCGGTACTCGGGCGAGGACCGCGTGCTGAGCGCCCCTGAGCTGCTGGAGTTCCTGGAGGACCAGGGCGAGGACGGCGCCACGCTGGCCCACGCCCAGCAGCTCATCCAGACCTACGAGCTCAATGAGACAGGTGGGGGTCTGACCGAGGGGCTGGGGCCGACACAGCCCAGGCTGTGGTGTCGGATAGACCTGGGTTCCCAGATAAGGGGGCTCTGCTGTTCCTGGCTGTGGTGCCATCCGGACTCAGCTGCCCCGTAGGGTTTGGCGTAACTTTGTCGAGTCCAGTCGGTAGACAGGTGCTCGTCAGTACTAAGTGGAGTGAGCTTTGGAGCATTTGGGGCCGGACAGGGGGGTCCCCTGTGTGTCCTGATGCTGCCTTCTGCCCCTCCCTGCAGCCAAGCAGCACGAGCTGATGACCTTGGATGGCTTCATGATGTACCTGTTGTCACCAGAGGGGGACGCCCTGAACCCGGCCCACACGTGCATGTTCCAGGACATGGACCAGCCCCTCGCCCACTACTTTATCTCCTCCTCCCACAATACCTACCTGACCGACTCCCAGATTGGGGGGCTCAGCAGCACTGAGGCCTACGTTAGGTACCCGTGGAGGGAGGGTGGCAGTGAACCCTTCTAGAAGCCCCGTTTGGCTGGGAAATGGGGCTCAGCTCCCACTGTGGGCTTCCGGGGGCCCACCTGTCGGTTTCGCTGATCTGTGCCACCCACATGGCACCCTGCCTGTCTGTTCACAGAGCCTTCGCCCAGGGATGCCGCTGTGTGGAGCTGGACTGCTGGGAGGGGCCGGGAGGGGAGCCCGTCATCTACCACGGCCACACGCTCACCTCCAAGATCCTTTTCCGAGATGTGGTCCAGGCCGTGCGTGACCACGCCTTCACGGTGAGCCCAGCCCCCCTCAGTCCTCCCGAAAGAAACCCCTGCCCAGAGAACCACTCCCTGCCCAGGTGCGGCTGGGACAGCGGCCAGTGGGGTAGAATAAAGCTGAGTGAGGGGCTTCCTTCTCCCACCCTCATATTTAGTAAATGTATTAAAATCTCAGAATTTCCAGGAGAAAACCTTGCGGGAGGGAAGGGCATTTTAATAATTGTCGCCAAAGAGTAAGCCATAAAGAGAAGCTAAAAAGAGAGAGAGAGATAGAGAGAGAGAAGCTTAGCCTACTATGGTGTCTACATAAAACGGCAATTTCAGCTAAGCTACACAAATCTTACCACCAACAAATGACGAAGGGGGAGGGATAGTTTGCATACTAATGACATGGTCAATGTCACTAACATATGAAGAGCATTTATAAAAGAAAACCATTCCTGCAGCTGCCCTCGGCCTCCCCGACAGTCCACCCCTTCCCGAGGCCCCATGTCTGACCTCTGTCCCTCCGTGTACAGGCTGGCCCCACCCAGGTGTGTCCCACATCCCCCTGACTCAGTCTCCTCCCTCCCACAGTGGGTTCTCCAGGCCCTGGTTTGGCCAGCCTGCCCTGAGGGAGCTGGGGCTGCATGGAGTAGGGGTTCTGGTTGGGATGGGAGGAGAAAAGAAGGGGTGAGTGACTCTGCGCTGTTGCCTCTCCCCCTACAGCTGTCCCCATACCCTGTCATCCTCTCCCTCGAGAACCACTGTGGGTTGGAGCAGCAGGCCGTCCTGGCCTGCCACCTCCGCACCATCCTGGGGGACATGCTGGTGACACAGGAGCTGGACTCCCAGAACCCCGAGGAGCTGCCGTCCCCAGAGGTGATGCTCCCAGAGCCTCAGTGTCGGTGGGGAAGGGTCTATCTGGGCTCCGGCCTCCACCCCTGCTCATCACTTCCCTGTTCAAGACCCCTCACCGCTGTCGGCCTTAACCTTCCCCTGCTCCTGCCTTCGTCTGACATCCGCCACCCACTGGTCTGATCAGTCTCCTGCTGTCCATCTTTGACCAGCGGTTCTCAACCTGTGGGTCGCGACCCCTTTGGCGGTCGAATGACCCTTTCACAGGGGTCGCCTAAGACCATCCTGCATATCAGATATTTACATGACGATTCATAACAGTAGCAACATTACAATTATGAAGTAGCAACAAAAATAATTTTATGGTTGGGTCACAACATGAGGAACTGTATTTAAAGGGCCAGAAGGTTGAGAACCGCTGGACTAGACCCACCCCACCCTCTCTCCTGGCATTTAGCCTTCGTGACCTGGCCCTGACCTCCCTGCTCTGCCTCACGGCCCACAGAATCCCTGCAAGCTCAGCCAGTCCCACCTCAAAGGTCTTGGTTGACATCGTCTCCACCTGGGGCTCCCTCCCCAGCCACCTGGCTTGCCCAGCGCCACCTGCTTATAATTCTGGTGCAGCCTAAACTGCCTCCTCCTGTGGCCTTAGAAACTCCCCCAGATTCTGGCCAGAGGTGGTCCTGCCTCCTTTCACTCCAAACCCCAGAGCATTTTATCTGCCCCCCTCAGGATATGCACTCTGTTCTGGCTCCTTGAGAAAACTCCCCTCCCACTCCCTATCCCAAATATGCAGAAAATGTTGACTCACCCTGGTGTGTGTGTGTGATTTGATCTTTTATTAGCATGAAAATAACATACATATGGTAAACAAAAACTGAACAGTACACCAGTGTATACAATCGAAAATGGTTTTTTTTCCCACTTGGGCTCATCCCTGTCCTATTTCACACAAAGTAACCATCTTCAGCAATTTCTTGTGTGTCCTTCCAGAATTTCCCCCTGCATATATACCCCTCCCCATGGCTCTCTTCTCTTTCAAATGTTACACCACAGGGCCATTGATTCCGTGTTCTACACTACTTCTGTCAGGTGAGATCTTTATTGGGGAGCGGTTTCCCTTTCCATCCGGAGCTGCCTCCATCATTTTAACGGCTGCTGCGTAGGATTCTGATGTTTGGAGGGACCTCATTAGCCAATCCCCTGTTGACGACCTCTTGGGTTGTTTCCAGTTTGTTTGTTTTTCTGTTAGAAACCACTCATCTTTGTGTGTCTTTTCCTGCTCCTCACCCCCGCAGCCTCTCACACGGTGGTTGAATGACTGACCAACCCGCTGACACAGGGGTGAGAGGACTAACCCTTCCATATTGGTCTCTACAGCAGCTGAAGGGCCGGGTCCTGGTGAAGGGCAAGAAGCTGCCAGCTGCTCGGAACGAGGATGGTCGAATCTTGTCGGACCGGGAGGAGGAGGAGGAAGAGGAGGAGGAAGAAGAGAGGGTGGAGGCTGCAGAGCAGAAGCGGCAGGTGAGTGGGGTGGGCTGGGCAGGTGGCGAAGGGAAGGAGGGGAGGAGCTGGGGGCTGGAGCTAGAGGAACCTCGGAGGCTCACCTCCCATCCACACTCGTCTATCTGAAACAAGTGTACAAGAAGAATGTGGATGGGAGAGTTGGGAGGGATCAACCTCAGCGAACGTACTTCAATCAGATTGAGGATGTTTTTAGCAAAGGCCAGCTTAGGAGTACCCTAATTAAGTTAATAACAATGTACCTACCTATATAGTTTAAGAAATGTGTCTCTCAAAAGAAATTTCAATCGTTGTACTGTTGCTATTTGGCTCTGTTGACTAATGAGTTTGCCGACCACTGTCCTAGGCCAAGCAGATCTCCCCGGAGCTGTCGGCCCTGGCCGTGTACTGCTGTGCCACGCGCCTTCGGACCCTGCGCCCTGCCCCCGTCCCACCCCAGCCCTACCAGGTCAGCTCCCTCAGCGAGCGCAAGGCCAAGAAACTCATTCGAGAGGCAGGTAGGAGCCAGGATAGCTGGCGTCTGGGGGCAGGCGGCCAGTGGGGGGGGGGGGGGGGGGGTTTGGGGAGGGGCTGTAGTATCCTGGGGGAGCATCCTGAGGTTGGTCTAGAAAGGAGATTGAGAGGCTTTGGGGGCGGTGAAGAGGTCAGGAAGACCCCAGAGAGGGGCTCAGAGAAGGAGTGCCCAGTACCAGGCCCGGCATGCAGGGAGAGGGCCCAGGGAAGAGGGTGCACAGCCCAGCGATGGGCCAGACGGAGCTGGGTAACTGTGGTGCAGGGTGATCAGCTGGGCCAGGACAGGGAGGGGCCGGAGGAGCCCAGCACACGGCGGGGAGATCAGGGCAAGAATGCTGAGCAGGTGAGGCCTGAGAAGACACCCGATGGACGGGTGAGGAGGAAGCCACCGGGCGACGAGGGGGAAGGGGTGTCCAGACAGGAGGAGCAGGTTGCACCAAGGCCTGGAGGAATGACACACAGGAAGGGTTCCAGGAAGCCAGTGTGGCTGGAGGGTGTGTGGGACGAGCGATGACACACAGGATGTCAGCCTGGGGCCAGGTGTTCCATGTGCTGAGTCAGGAATGTGGGGATTTGGGGCTGGGATGCAGTGAGGGCTGTGGGAGCGGTCCCTGCCCCTCCCTGGACTTCAGCAGCCTCCTCATGAGGCTCCCACACCGTGTCAGAGAAGAGGAGCTGGGGCAGGGGAGGTGGGAATGGAAATTCAGCCTCTGGTCCCAGCCTGTCCCTGGAGTTGGGGTTACAGCCCCTGACACCAGGTGAGGGTACCCCAGGAGCTTGTCACAATACCACCGAACTCCCACCAGGGAACAGCTTTGTCAGGCACAATACCCGGCAACTGACCCGTGTCTACCCATCGGGGCTTCGGATGAACTCGGCCAACTACAGCCCCCAGGAGATGTGGAACTCAGGCTGTCAGCTGGGTGAGTGGCTGCAGAGCTGGGAGGGGGCCGGGTGCTTTGTGGGGTGGCCTCTGGGACGTCACAGCAGGCCCAGCAGTGATGGGGCCACACAGCTTACCAGGTGGAAAACAGTGTTTTGTTGATAACAACATTTATTAAAAACTTGTGAGCAGGGTATGTGAGGAAACACAAATAAGGCTTGTTCTTTTTTTTGTGTTTCTATTGATTTCAGAGAGAAAGGAAGAGGGAGAGAGAGAGAGAAACATCAATGATAAGAGAGAATCATTGATCAGCTGCTTCCTGCACACCCCACACTGGGGATAGAGCCAGCAACCCAGGCATGTCCCCTGACTGGGAATCAAACTCTGACCTCTTGGCTCCTGGGTCAACACTCAACCACTGAGCCACACTGGCCGGGCTCATTTGTTCCTGAATATGTAAAAGTCTCACATTTTTTATGAAGGTAGAAGTTAGAAATCTCCACCCCCAGGCGCCCCCTTGACACATACATGCACACATACCCCTGGCAATCCCGTGCTCAGCCCAAGGAAGGGGCGTGTGGTCCCCGAGGGGGTAGGTGTAGAAACCTCAGGCCTCAGCTCTGGCCAGGCCTGGCCCTGCCGGTGGAGGCTTCTCTAATATGTCCCCCTCAGGCCCACATTCCAGCCTCCAGAGATACCAGGTTGCCTGGCTGGAGGGGCTCAGTGGTTGAGCGTCGACCTGTGAACCAGGAGGTCACTCACGGTTTGATTCCCGGTCAGGGCACATGCCGGGTTTCGGGCTCGAGTCCTGGTGTGGGGTGTGCAGGAGGGAGCCTATCAATTATTCTCTCTCATCATTGATGTTTCCCTCTTACCCTCTCCCTTCCTCTCTGTAATCAATAAAAAAGAAAAAAGGTACGAGGTGACAATAGAGTCTAAGATCGCCTGGCTGCCATGACACACCCACTCCCTCCCCACCACCTCATGGTGGGTACGAGCAGCATTGCCCGGATCTGGGCCTTTTGGAGGAGCTGGTTCTGCACCTACAGGGTTGTGTGGGGGAGAGGGCAGTGAGGCCCCTGGAGCAGCGTGAGGAGAGGGCCACCAAGAGCCCTCCTGACCCCGCTGTGTCCACAGTGGCCCTGAACTTCCAGACGCCAGGCTACGAGATGGACCTCAATGCGGGGCGCTTCCTCGTCAACGGGCAGTGCGGCTACATCCTGAAACCTGCCTGCCTGCGGCAGCCTGACACAAACTTTGACCCCGAGAGCCCTGGACCCCCCAGAACTACTCTCACCATCCAGGTTAGCAGCCTGGGCCAGGCCCTACCCTGGGCTCAGAGCCGGCTAGTCCAAGGGCACCAGCCCGCAGTGGAGGAAGATGGCGGAGGCCTGGGGACTGCGTGGTGGGCAGGGCGGGCAGGGCCAGGCTGAAGCTCTTCATCCCCCGCAGGTGCTGACTGCACAGCAGCTGCCCAAGCTGAACGCTGAGAAGCCGAGCTCCATTGTGGACCCCCTGGTGCGTGTTGAGATCTACGGGGTGCCCATGGACTGTGCTCGAAAGGAGACCAACTACGTGCTTAACAATGGTGGGTGGGCCTGCCGGTGGAGGTGGGCGGGCAGACCGCAGAGTGCAGGGGGGTGCAGGGCAGAGGCCAGCTGGCTCCGACCACCAAGCCTGTTTGTGCCCTAGGCTTCAACCCCCACTGGGGGCAGACCCTGCAGTTCCAGCTGCGGGCTCCAGAGCTGGTGCTGGTCCGGTTTGTGGTAGAAGATTATGACACCACGTCCCCCAATGACTTTGTGGGCCAGTTTACACTGCCTCTCAACAGCCTGAAGCAAGGTAGGTGGGGATGGGAAGGGAGAGGTCCGGCCCACAGACGCTGCTCACCTGCGCTGTGACTGTGAGCGCCTTTCCTGAGTGAGGCCCAAGCGGGGCCCAGCCCCCAGAGAGGGGATGTGGGCAAGGTGATGGGCAGCAAATCCGATGCCTGGCTGTCCTCCCCACAGGGTACCGCCACATCCACCTGCTTTCCAAGGACGGGGCCTCCCTGTCACCAGCCACCATCTTCGTCCATATCCGAGTCCAGCACTCCCGAGGGCCCGACTGACCCCCTGTGGACACAGCTGTGAGCGGCGGTGAGGCCTCCTCAGTGGAGGGCAGTGGTGTACCCGGCCAGCCTGGCGCTGGGCTGCCTCAGTGCCTCCCAAAGAACAGGGGGGTTATCTCTTCCCTGCACCTGAGATGGCCGAGGACTCAAGGAGCTGGGCCACCTTTCATTGTGATTTATCAAGAGCCAGGCCTGCTACTGCCAGGAGACCTGGGGAGCAGGACATACGAACCTTCAGCCCCTCTGCCCCTGAGAGGAGTCCAGCCATGGCCTCACCCCACCCAGGTACTGGCCACCCCCTAAGACTCCCTCCTCAGGTTTCCTGGGCTCTTCTCTCGGCTTTTGAACCTGAGCTCCCTTCCCTTGTTAAAGCAAGAGGGAGAGCTGAGGTTGGGAGCCCTGGGGACCGAGAAGTAGGTTTTTAGCTCATTTCATAGAAGAGCCCTGAGAGGGCAGTAGAACAAGACTGTTTTAAAAAATAAAGCAGCAAGCTTCCTTTATCACTGCCACGGCAAGCACATGAGGCCGCAGGGCCCTGAGGAGGATGGGGCAGAGTCCCTTGGGCCTCTTGCCAGCAGGGCTTGGATCTGACTGCCAGGGGGTGCTGCAGGCGGACTGTGAGGACAATCACACGCTGCCCCACCAACCCTCCGAGGGGCCTGGTGGGTGGGCCTGCTGGTGGAGGTGGGTGGGCAGACAGCAGAGTGCAGGGAGGGGCCCCAGGCAGACCCCCCACTTTCCAGGCTTAGCGGGGTTCAAGGCCTCTGTCTACTCAGTAGACAAATCCCAGACTTGGGGCTCACCTTCCACCAGCCAACCAGACTTTGAGATGAAGGCTGGAGGCAGTGGCTGCTCCGGGCTACTCTAGCGATGCCGGGAGAGTGCAGACAACAGATGAGAGTCCAGAGCAGACCTGTCAGAAAGGTGGCCTTCGAGGGTTAAATGTGGACTCAGGCACCAGCACTAGCACTGAGCAGGGGCAGAGCTCGAGAGCAGTCCCTGGAGGCAGCTCAGGGTCCAGGTTCCCTGGAAAGGGCCAAGGCACCAGCCATGGGGGCCAGAAAGGAGCAGGGGCCGGGGAGTGGGTGACAAGCTCCACAGGAAGAGAACAGGATGGAAGGCCCCGCAGAAGCTGGCTCAGTAGGTGGGCAGTGGGGCCTGGTGACCTGCAGTGATAAAAGCACCCCTGGTGGCTCAACAGACCCCTGAGCCAGAAGGGAAGATGTGGCATGGGCCGCGTCAGAGGAGCCGCTGCTGACCCAGACCGCAGGGGCCCACCTGCTCCCAGCTGTGGGAGCCCGGCACTGGCTCCTCGGCCAAGGTGCCCGGCACTGGCTGGCACAGAGCCCAGCCGCTCCTCTTACACAGAGTGAAGCGGGGTCAGTACTGGCTCCTCGCTGGCGCCTGAGGATTGGGGAAAGGAGCCAAGTTTGCCCTGAAAGGGGGCAGCCTTGCCATGAGTCTTCACAAGTTGCCCAGTGCTGTGACCATGACAGCCTTTCCTGCAGGGCACCCTAGCCAAGCCGGGGCTGCCATCGGCTCCACGGCTACTTGCTGTCCACAGCAAAACCAGGAGGATGGAAGGTTTTATTCAGCTGCTTCCTTTATTAGAAACCAGTGAGATGTATCAAGCGGAACAATGCATTTGGTATTTCTTCCCCCGCCCTGGGAACGGGGCCTTTCCCACAGCCCAGAGAAAAGCCAAGACGAAAAGGTAAAGCCTCCCCTTCCTTGTTCCAAGATGCAGCACCTGCAGTCAGTCACTATTTTTATTTAATTGAATGAAACTGTCCTACAGAGCCCCCCAGGGACAGTGTTTGCAGGCCTGCTTTCACTTTGCACGGCAAAACTGAAGCCTTGGGCTGCCTCTGACTGGGGCAGGTTGGCACTGACCGCCCTTCACCCGCTCCTAGACTGCAGCTCCCTGAAGCTCTCCAGGCCTTCGGCACACCTCTTGGGTTGGTGAAATGCTGGTCATCTTGGAGCAAAGAATTACAGACACTGGGACACCCACCCTCGGGCCTCAGTGAGCCAGCAAGTAGGGGGGGGCTGGCAGTCAGAAGGGAGGTGCAGAAAAGGCCCGACATTTTCCATAAACCTAGGTGCTGCAGTGGCTTGGTGTGGGCCGGCCTTCACACCAGACATTAGCGTCTTCGCATGCAGGCATGTGCGGGTAACCAGCCCTGACAGACCTCAATCCAGAATCGAGGCTTCTTTTTCTATCCAGCTCTCTCCCTACAGACAGGGCGGCCACAGGGACTTGCCAGGGAGTCAGGGATCAAATGCAGATTCGATCCAAAGGCAGGAGATAAACATAGAGAAACACGAGTGTCCAAAAGCCCGGTGTCAGCAAGGAGTGGAGGCGGCAGAGTGCGAGGGCCATGCCCGGAGGCTCTCCAATAGCAGCTGCCGGAGGCGGGTCCCAGGTCCTTCCCTTGTTTGGTTCTGTCCAGCCATGGCTCCACCATCCTGCAAAGCTCCTTGTGAGGAGGCCTTGAATCCCAAACAGTGGTTCTCTCTGACCTGAAGTCCTGGAAGGGGTGGAGTGAAGAACCCAGGGACCGTTTGGACAAAAAGGAAGCCAGCAGCAGCCACTGAGCCTCCTCCCGAAGCCCTGGTGGTGGTGCTGAGGGCGGGCGGGTCCCCGCCATGAGCGACTGGAGTCCAAGGAGGGCCACGTGGTTTTGGAGGGAGACACGGGCCTTTCCAGGAGATCTGTTTCTTCCAGAGCAGCCACAGGCCTCACAGTTTCCCTTCCATGACCTGGGTCAACCCAAGCAAACTCCAGGGGCTATTGTGCACCCCTCATTCCAGAGGCAGTCAGGCTGGGACGTGGCCCAGAGAGGGAGCGTCTCCAAGTTTCAGGTCTGCCCAGGTAAGAAAGAGCTGGGCACTGTGTTCTTTGATATCCTTAGGAGCCGGCACTGGGCGAGCTGCTCTGGGGCTCAGGGCCTTGTGTCTGATGTCTCAGAAGCTGTAAGGCAAGCCTCCACCTCTCTGACCCCTTGTCTGTGGAATGCAGGGAACACCTTGCTAAGAACAGCAGCTTCTTTGGTCTGGGTATCTTGGAGTCAAAGGCCAGCCATGGTCCCTGGTGCCTGCAGGTTGCAGAGCAGTGACAACAGGAGAAGGGAGGCCCCTAGAGGCCTGATGCAAACCCGATCCAGTCTACCGAGAGCAGGCAACATTCCAGCAGGTGGCACAGCCCCGATCCCAAGCACACGATTTCTTTCAGCTTCCGGGACAGCAATGAACCTCTGGCCAACCTCACCCAAACACAGCCTCCAACAGCTCTGCTAGCCTGCAGGGCATGGCTGCAGCTGGTAAGACCAGACTGAGTCTGGCCTCCTGGCTAAGACTTCCTTCCCCCTACAAGTAGCTGAGAGGTGAAAGCAGCCAGGAAGCCGTCACACCACGTTATCCACCCACTTCCTTTCTCCTAGAGCAAAAGTCACATACAAACCTGGATGTGGGTTGCTGACAATTCCAGCCAAATCCTCCCTAAGCCAGTTGGCTGAGCACACGTGAGGAACAGGAACGCCTACACAGCCAGCCACGTGACCGGAGGTCCCACTACTGTGGGGAAACGGGCAGCATCATAACCATCACCACCACCACCACCACAAAAATCCACCGAATATCATCAGTGAAAACCACACGCAGACAATGGCAACATGAAATCATGTCTGTTCAGTTCAGATTGGCGTCTAACCACCGCTCCTTGCCATTCCTCGCAGGCTGTCTTGGAAAGGAGCACAAGAGATGGCCAGTGCGTTGGAAGGCACAGGCCAGGGGCCTGGGAACCCACACCATCCTTGCCCAGCCACCCTGGGGGCGTGAGGGGGCTGGCTCTTTGCTCTAAGATGAGCTAACCAGGCCTTGTACTGACATGGTCTCCACAAAGTCCCAAATGCTACAAGGAGGTCAAAGGTCCCCTTCAAACTGCCAGTCACCCCGGGAAATGGAAAAACAATCTCATGAGGGACTCACGCCTATAAGATTGGCAACAGCTGGTAAAGAGTTGGCAGGATGACTTCCAACAGGGAGCAGGCCAAGCAGATGGGAGAAGGGACTCATTTAATGAAATCTGCTTCCACAGATCATCACCGCCCCGTTTCTGAATGCAGAAAAGGCCCGGCCGGCGGGAAAGCCTCTGAGTAGGACTGGCTCCACCTAGGACTCCACCTGCAGTCCGAGATCAGGCCCTCCCCACAGCTTGGCACAGTCCCTCCACCTTCCTCCTTCTCAAAGCCAATCATTCCAGCCAATTCAGGAGGGGAACTGGACAGAACTGCCCACATCCTCTTCCTCCTGCTCCCCCAAGAAAAGCCGATACCTGCTTTCAGAAGAGAACAATTCACTGTAGCAATGTGTACGTCTGGCCCTGTCCTTGATTCTAATTTTCAGGAATGATCTGAATTCAGCTTTTCATTAGAGACTGAACATCCTTGTACATTTGGAACATGAAAGATATTTAAAATATTTATATATATATAATATACAATTTTAAAAGTCTTTTAGTGTGAGCACACATTAACTTTATAATATTTAAAATCTAAACAAAAATTAAAAACAATCAAAATGAAAGAACAATTCTATCAACAGTTTTCAATCATGGTTGAAGATATTTTTATTGAATAAGAATTCATGCAGGGTGAATAAGAAAGCAAATATTTTATAAAAACAATTCTGTAGTTTTTTTTTTATATATAATATATACTTTTATTATTCACCCGTTAACTCCATAATATGCCAATCACGAGCTAGTTTTCAGCAGTTACATTCCCTTGATCATGGCTGCATAAGGATGTGATTAACTGGAAAACAGGGAGACCAGAGACACGGCCAGAGGTGACATCACGCAGCCTACGCCATCGCAAAACAATTGTCAAGTTCAGTGGTGGTTTGGTTAAGCCGGTTCACTTCTGTTCCCTTTGCCAGGGATTCTCACGTTTGTGAAAATTGGACCAACAAGTGGTGGGATTCCATTTCCTGGTTTGAATTCTCAGTGGCTTTATCCAGAATCTCACTGGCAACTGGTTACTGTAACACCAGCCCAACCTTCTCTGCCCCCATGGAGAGGCAGAGTTGAGTCGACAGTTGTTGGAAGCCTCTCCCACTTCCCCGCGGACCTGAAGTGCCAAATGGCTGAGCCCACAGTGCCGCTGGGCTGTGGGAGCCGACGCACAGCGAGCCGAGGCTCACGCTCAACCTTTACATTTATCATGTCCTTAGAGGAGAGCAGCTGCCAGCGTCTCGAGCACTGGTCAGCCGGCCTCTCCGTCCAGCAGTTACTTTGTTAACTGCTGACCACACCATGGTCCTGGGCTGCCCTTTGGAGCTGGTGGAGGAAGAAGGGCTGAGGTGGGTGGAAGAAGGGCTGGGATGAGGGCAGCAGCCAGCAGAGGAAAAAGCCCTCGACCCTCGACTCGAACCTTCCTGGCGAACAGTGGGCAATTCACTGGCAGGGTTCCCTGAGCAAGTCCCAAATGCCTGCCCCAGCAGCGGAAGTGACTCGCCTGGCGGGAAGAGAAGCTGGAGCCCTCCCCTCTGCCACCCTCACACTAGTCTGGCCGTTAGAGGGAGCGGACCTTTCAGGGGCCAAACACCAGTTAACAAGGGCCCAGACTGATGCTGGATCCCAGACCCAGGCCCTGCCTTTGCTCCACCAACTCCCTGGCCTGGGCAGGCCCCGTAGCTTGCTTACCTTCTCTGCCCCCATGCTGGGGCACTTCCAATTGTAAAGATAATACTGCAGGTTGCCGTCCCCTATGCCGAACTTTAGCTTCTCCAAGAAGGTTTTGTTCTCCATGAGATCCAGTGCATTGAACACGTCAAACCCTTTCTGTACAGCAACAAGGGGCAAGAGAGCAGGTGAGGAGGGTAAAAGCTGCCTCACCTTCCTGCCCTTTTCTATCCTGTCAGAGCCACCCCACAGGCGGCCACAGAGCAATCTTCCTTCGAAGCTCTGGCTGCTTCCTGTTGAATTCCAACTCCAGAGAGCGCCCGCTCACTAGTGGCGGTTCTCAGGACACCGAGGCCACCCTACCTGCCTCTCCCCAGTGAGCCTCCAAGCACACTGTGTCCTCACTGTTCCTGTCGCACGTCCCTGAAATACTCGAGTAACTGCCACGGTCCTCGCTGGAGACCCAACCCGGAACCCCTTCCTTGGGGAAGCCAGCTCCCGTCACCACTTGCACTGCTCCCTCACTCCCTGGACACCTCAACTCGTAGGCCTTCAGCGTACACCCTGTGACTTCAGCACACCCGATGCGCTGCTTTGAGACTGTGATGAAGATACTTCCTACACCTCACCACCTTGATCAGAAGCTCTCCCAGGGCAGGGACTGGACTGCCCATCGTCTAGCTCAGTGGTCGCCAACCGGTGGTCTGCGGACCACTAGCCGTCTGTGAGGTCCGAAAGGTTGTGACCGCTGGTCTAGCTGGCCCACAGTGGGCTGGGCTCCCTGCAGGCAGAACCCATAATGAAGGACTGACTGAAGACGACTTCTTGGGTTTGAGACACCTGGGCCCCTCCCCCAGCTCTACAGTCAGCGCTCCAATGACTCACCACGACAGAGACCAATCTCCCCATTCCCACGCTGGGGAGGCCGTGAGGAGGACCCCTTTCCTCCCCGAGCAGGCCTGGCTATTCAGGCTCCTTGGCAGCGCCTCCCGTGAGAACGAAACTCACTGAAATAAATCAGGAGGAGTTCAATGCCTTCACTTCATGTGGATGCTCCTTGCTCCCTCCCAGTTTCTAGCTGCTGGCTGACAACTGCTGGGCTCCTCCCTACGCAGAGCCAGAGGACAAGGTAGGCTCGAAGCCCCTGGCCCATGGGCAGCTACATCCCTAGCTGTGCTCACCACCATTCCACTGCCACTGCCCCACAGAGCTGCCCCTCCCTCCAGTCTGCTCACCGTTTTGGCGAGAACAAGGGCGTCACTCATGAGGTCTAGAAGAGGGGTCTGGGTGTGAACGTTGTAGAAAGAATAAGCAGCCTTTAGACTCTTGTGGGTTGGATGGTTCATGATGGTGGAGGGAAGCGTATAAAAGCTCAGGAAATCTGTCACCTCACCATTTGCATTCTGAAGGGAAGACAGCGAAAGGAGGCAGTGTCACACATGCACGGGAATCCTGTAGGCTGGGAGCACATGCTTTTCTCTTGCTCTCACGTCACCCACAGGCAGCTCTGCCCCGAGAAACAACTGGGTGGAAGCTGAAACAATATGCAGGGAGGAGGAAGTACCCTGGCCGGGCCCTTGAGGACAGAGCCAGAAGGAAAATCCAGGCTAGAATGTGGGCTGAGTCTGTCAGCTCTTTCCTGGCCTGTGCTTCCCCAGAGACTTCTTGTGGCTCACATTCCCCCGAAGTGTGTCCCCAGTGCCTGACCAGCACTACCTCCAGCCACGACAGGAAGGACCGCAGGCTTACCTGACTAAGGGGCTCAGTCTGTCATCAATGGGGACTAGGGGTGGCGGGAGGGAGAAGGCTCACAGCAAGGCCAGAGGGATCACTTTAGCCAATGCAACCTACAACTGCCTGTCGTTAGGGAGGAGCGAGCATAGATGGTCAGGAAGTCTAGGGTGCCAACATGCCCGTCAATTGGTTCTTCGGTCACCGAGGCCGGGAAACCTAGCCACTTGAGGAGGATGCCACTCTGTGAATGGTCAGAGGCCCGGAACAGCCCTCCCCACTCACCTCCACCACAAAAGTGTCAATGATATTCTCCTGGGGGTAGAACCAGTGTTCCACCTCCTCCTGGCTCATGACTGGCGTGAGGTGGAACTGCTTCAGGTACCTGGAGAGAAGCTGGTGAACTACTGGAATGTCCTTTTTTTCCATTGGTCGCAGTCCAGCTGTTTTGGGAGACTGGAAGGAAGGGAGACAAAACAGCATCAGACGTGCTGACTGTGAGCATCCTGACTCCTCTCAGGTCCTATAGGCACCAGAAACGTCAATGTCTCCCTTGTTACCCGACTTCAGATCTATCCACCCAGGCCCTCAACACAGAACCCTCGGTCACCCTTGGCAACGCCCTCTCCCCCACTGTCCATATCCACTCAGGCACAAGTCTTGCTCCTCCAGGGTCTTTTGGCCCCTTCCCTCCTAGTTAAGGAAGGCTGGGCTTCAACCTCTTACCCATATGCCCCCGGCTGTCTTCCTAAGAAACACAACCCGCCACACCCTCCCTTGTTCCAAACTCCAACACAGCACACGATCTACCCCTGAACCGGGCGGCTGTTCTGCCTGCCTTCTGTCCCTCTAGTTCAGTGGTTCTCAACAGAGCAAGTCGGCCTTCCTGGCTCCCTGCCCCTGGACATCTGACACCACCGGGAGACATTTCTGGTTGTTACAAACTAGCAGGAGAGGTACTGCTGGCATCTGATGGGGAGAAGCCAGGGATGCTGCTAAAGCCAGGACAGCCCCCATGACAAAGAATTACCCAGCACAAAACGTGAACGGTGCCAAGATGGAAGGAAACCTGACCACCGGATGGGTGTGCTGGGGTAGGCCCAGATCTGCATTGGGTGCTTGTCTTGTCCACTTGGATGCCAATGCACTAGTCGTCCCCTAACAGGACACTCACACAAGTTAAGTTCAGAAAAGCACCGATTTCCTGGAATTTAATCTCACACAGAAAAATAGGCTTCAGTGGAATGAGGCCATGTGATGCTCTGAAGTTATACTGGGACTGAGAGAATATTCCGAGACTCAATCTGTAAAGGTGGGGTCAGCCAAACCTGACAACAGGGTGGAGTTATAATTTATATACCTCAGGCAGTGCCTGATGTAACTGCTTCCCAGTGTAGGCATTGCTTTTAAAATAGCAGTTTCAGGACTTGTTGCTGCTAAAATTCCTTGCTAATCCTGATGCTGCTAGGGAACAGTGTGACTTGTTTCTACAAGGCAGCGCCCACAGTGACCCTAAAGCAGTCATGCGGAGGCTCCTCAGCCAAGGCGGGGAGACCCGGAGGCATTCTTTGGTTGCTACACACCTTACGAATGCTCTCCGACGACCTAGAAATCAGAACAACTCTGTCATAATAACCGAAACTCGGCCCCCCGAATCTGCTTCTTTTGGACAGTGTCTAACCGCTGCCACAGTCCCTCAAAATCAGACACGAATAACCCCAATCCAGTGGGGGGTTAGCTTGATCCCAGGGTGATTAATCCAGTTGAGTGGTTTAATCAGGTCCAGGCAGGCAGTCCTCTCAGAAGCAAACACCCAATAACTGTGATGCTGCCTGGAAGAGGCCTGAGGGAACAGAAGCGATCAGAAGACCCATTAGGACCTTGAAGCCAGGTGCACCTGGAGAGCACGGAACACTTGCTTTGCTGGGAAACTAGGCAAATTGAGGCCCAGAAGAGAAAACCAGCTCACTCCGGGTTGCCCATCCTTCGATGGCAAAGTCAGGATGGGGACACTGGAGTTAGAAATCTGGGCTTCCCTCACAGCCCGGTCCTCCGTCCTCTACCTGACTTGGCAGAGGGG